TCATCGATTTATAATTTTTTTTTTTATAATAAGGCAACGAGTAAACGGTACGAGACTATCTTCTAGACAAACATTCGAGGACGGTCCCTGGTCAAAAATCTCATTAAATTTATAATTCAACTTGCCGACTTTCCGATTACATTTCCTATACTATGGAGTTGATCGATCTATATAGATTGATGGTACAGGTAAGGTAGCTCGGGAAGTGCGGCAGTGAATGTCTCGCCATAAATCACAGAATGGCTTCCCTCCCCCGTCACCAAACTCGGGAAAGAAGTAGACGTCATTGATGGTCGAGAATAAAGGGAAGAAATGAACTTTCCTCGATAATCTCACGCTAGGACCTGGGATGCCTTTAGCGGGCACCCCGAGGCTGAGTGGGAGTAGGAAATATAAAATGAACTTTTATTTTTGATTGACGTGCCTCGTCGAAGTGGCGAGTAAAGTGCTTGGGGGTAGTGGGGAGGAGGGGCGGGGAGGGGAAAAAGGGCAAAAGGGTCAATATGGAGGTGAAATTTCCGAGAGAGGGACGACGCACTTGGGTTAAGAGTAACGCGTGAGGAAGTAAAGTTATAAGGGTGTAAGAGGGCGAGAGAGGGGCGGGAGGGGAGGTAGAGGGGGAATGGCTATAGGCCTAAGGTAAAGAAAGAGTCTCGTGCACGATGTTCGTCATGAAGGTAGAGGGTGCGTAGGTAGAGAACATACAGAAGGGTCTCCGCCAAGGGTAATGCAGAGGAAGAGGGTAGGACCGACGTCAGAAATACGCGAGGCTCTTTCCACGGCACGTATCCGAACTCACGGAGTCCCTTAGTCCTGTGCCACGTCGTCGGCTCGCCTCACGTACAAGAATTAATATCGCCGGCTGCCAGTGTAGCACTCGATTACCCTGAATTTGACAGTGATTTATGGTCCAGATATAATATCGCTGTTCCTTGTATTCGATAATCGATTTGCGGTATTTTTTAGTCACGTGGACAGGTAAGTGTCCTGGATATCTCGTATGCACCATTCTTATAAATTTGGTACTAGAAGTATGAGGGGGGTGGTTGATCTTGAATACAGATCTTTAATTCGGGTGTTAATTTGAAAACGCTATCGAAAATCTTGTTTACCACGTCCGACCCATCGGGTACCATACTTCGGAAAGATTATCTGAGATAACAAAGTTGGTACCTGAAATCGAGAAAACTTTTGATCCCGTGTCGAGATACTCCTGGCAATGAAGTCGAGCCACGCTTGCGCAAGTTCATAAAGACCTGGACCCCTTTCGCTTCTATTAACGTAATTGACGAGGTGCTCAGCGGGTCACTGGAACTTTGAGATTAATCGAGAGCTCACTGAACATCGGGATACAATCTGCTAATGGCTCAAGCCAGCTCGACCACTCCGCGCTTCAATGAAAATCTCTATTCTTTTATTTGAAACGCTTAGTACCCCGAACCCCGCTCCTCTCCTCTCGTGATCGAACTGAATTTTTCAATAGCGTCTGCTGCGATAACCCATAAAGGAATCGTTCTTACGGCCATGCTGATCACTGCTCATCCATTCTGTACAGACTGTCCCTTTCTCCGCCATTCTATCATCCCTCCTACGGAACGTGGGACGAGCATCGTTTCGCTAAGCGACCTTTAATTTTAATCCGGCCCAACTGAAGTAACGATCGAGACACGCCAGAGGGCGGGAAAGGGATGTAAGGGAGTAGCTTCAAAGTTTCCTTCTGGCATCGCGACGCCTGGCGTCGGTACCTCCGAGAGGCAATCACAGCCCCATCGCTTAAAGAGGTCGAACAAATGAGAAGTCCCGTGGTGGGATTCGAGGATGATGGAATGGCTCGGTATTGAAAACAAGTTCTTTCTTTTTTCATCTTTTTTCATTCCATAATACACTTCCTCCACCCATCAATGCTAGTATACTACCCCGTCTAAATGACTATAGTATATACGTTCTTTCGGTATACCAGATATCTTGAGATAGCTGCCATTTAATTATTATTATTATTCAACATCGAAATACAACTTCCGGTAGATCATACTCGAATATATCATCCCGTTGGTATTCTGTCTCTTATTCCTGGGTACCATTAAATTTTGCAGCATCCCTCCAAGTCGCAATTCAGGTTCTGTCGGTATCAGCTGATGGAGTTCATAATTATAATATATATATATACATGTGACTATAGGAATGTTTATTAATAATTCCTTCTTGACTTTGGCTCCACCGGTACTTACCTGTTATCCATTATAACCAACGAGAACGTGTTATCGATACCAGCTAGCTACTATTAATCACTTCTTGTTTGTTAAGCGGCGTACACACCTGCTTCCGTAATATCCTGTATCCCGCAGTCTAGAAGTCAGCCTGTCCCGAAACTTTGCCTTGTTCGAAATAACTACGTGTCTATACCGCATACCTTGCGGCAAGCTAATGTACAGACTTTGTCAGTAGTGACCGTTTGCGCAATCGTCCTCGGCTACAATTGACATTAACAACTGTACATTACGTAACGAGATAAAAAGATTCTCCGCGGGACAATTAATCTTCCGCGCCAAGTCCAGGCGATCGTACAGCTAGATAAGTGCAGAATCCGATAAATTCATTATGGATGATTGGCGGAAAGGCGACGATTCCCTAAAGACGTATTCGTGTAGATTTGTGTTGGTAGGCGTGCGGGCGGGCGGGGGGTCAGCAGGAGATGCAGTGACGTTTCTAATGGACAATGCCTGTTATTCTGTAACAAAGGGGAGCCAATTATGGCCGAGAAACGGAAATATCACGATAAGAGGAACAACAGGTGCAGGCGACGGTGAAAATTAGTATAAGAACCGGCAGAGAAGGTATACACATAGCGCGTGGGTGTAAACTCGCCTTTACGAGGAGCGTGAAACTAGACGTCTCGTACCTACGACAAAAGAAATCTTTTAAAATATATATCAGGCAACAGCGTTTCCTTGCTTGCTTTATCGTACCTTTACGCAAGACTGCTTCCATCAAGATTCTTCATCCCCCCCCCCCCCCC